AAGTAGGGAGACCAGAACTGAATGAAGTATTCTAAAAGTGGCCTCACCAATGTCCTGGACAGCTGCAACATGATGTCCCAACTCGCTATATGCATGCACTGACCAATGAACGGAAGTGTGCTAACTGCTGCCTTCACCACCCTCTCTACCTGCGACTCCATTTTCAAGGAACAAGAATGTGTCATTTGAGACGATCATTGCTTGGCACTTGTATGTCAAGAATGTTACTCTGTCTTTCTTTCCGTTATTCATGCCACAATATTACCACTATACCATGTGCTGTAAATTTGTTTCCTAATCTCCAGTCTAGGCTTTTCCTAATTCTTCTGAAAATCCGAATACATAACATCCATTATTACTCTGTATCTACTCTGCTAATAGCATCGCATAAAATGCTCCCAAGAATGTAAAACAATTTCCATTTCAAAAATGTGTTGCCTCTGCTCAGTGAAAATTTTAAAGTATCCTGTTTTCAGATCCATATTAGTAATCTGTTCTAGTACTTTCCCTACTACTGAAATAAGAATAACAGGTCAGTAGTTCCCCAATTTTTCCACCCTCTTTTACGAAACGCTGGGTTTGCATCTATAACCTTACGACCTGCCAACACAGTATTTCATTATTCTGCCATTTCCCATTATTTATTGTCATCACTGCTTGTATTGGACTCCCATTTGTCTTTGCTAATCTTTACCTTTTTATCTACAGATAGAAGATTTTATAGTTCATTTTTGTCCTTTTCTACTGTACATTCCTATTATGCATTCCCTTTCCTTGTCAGTTTCTTGGTTCTCCTTTGAATTTTAGTAAGATCATACCTTAAGGCTTATTAATTTTCTGCCAACTTGGTGAACCTTTTCCATTGATCTATAAGCGGTCTCCTTTGTTAACCACTGTTGAGTGCCTTTTTTCCTTTTAGGTTCTCTGCCTTAACAAAATGTTTTTCAAAAAATGCAATGTGTTAATTCTTTAAATATTATCAAGTGCCTGTCTATTATTAAACTTTTTAATGTTTGTCTTTTCGACTACCAGTCAACTTGTCCCTTCATTACCTTCATAGTCTCCTTTGTTTAGATTTAAGATTCAAGCTTGGATTGAATTGCATTAAGCTTTCTGAAAAAATCCTTATTATGTCACTCTTTCCTAAATATTCTGTCTTGCTGCACAAATTACCTAACAGTTGACATTTTAAGTCCAATATTCACCCCTTTTGAGCCTGCTCTGCCATTCCATATGGTTGTGGGAGATTATCCAATTCAGTACCCTGTTCTCGTTGTCTCCCAAAAAGCACTGATAATTTAGATCTATATATAACTTCTTTTCGAAAACATTCATGTTTTAGCCTCGACCACTTCCTGTGGCAGAGAATTCTACTGGCTCACCACTCTCTGGATGAAGAAATTTCTCCTCATCTCAGTCCTAAATGGCATACCCCATATCCTGGCTTTGGACTTCTTGGTCATTGAAAACATCCTTCCTGCATTTATCCCGTCCTAGTCCTGTTGAATTTCTGAGATGCCCCGTATTTTCCTAAACCCCAGTGAATGTAGTCCTAACAGATCCCAAGTCTCTTCACAAATCATTCCTGCCATCCCAGAATCCCTTTGCACTCCATCCAAGCCAGACCATTCTTTCTCAAAGAAGGAACCCAAAACTGTAAACAATATTCCAGGTGATCTCACCAAGCCCTGTACAACTGCAGCAAGACATCCCTGCTCCTGTACTGTAATCCTGCAGTGAAGGCCAACATATTATTTGCCGCCTGCACCACCTGCCACACCTGTATGCTCGCTTTCAGTGACCAGTGTACAAGAGCACCCAGGTCTCATTGTACCTCCCCCATTCTCAATCTATAACCATTCAGACAATAATCTGCCTGCATGTTTTTGTTACCAAAGTGGATAACCTCACATTTATCCACATTGGGAAAATACATGGCAAATGAAGTACGATCACTCAACTTGACCTTTACAAACTCCTCTACAAACCTTCCTCCAGCTGTAAGAATATCCATTTACCATTACTCTGTTTCCTATCGCTAAACCAAGTTGCTATTATCCCTTTTACATCATGACGTATAATTTTCCTCAAGTTCGTTGCGTGGCAGTGCCACGGAATGTGGCTGAGGACAAAGCATTCAATGTTTTCAAGAAGTAGGCAGATATATTTCTTAGGACCAGGGATCAAAGGGTATTTAGTAAAATTGGGAACAGAGTATGGAGTTGGATGATCAGCCATGATCATATTGAATGGTGGAACAGGCATGAAGGGTTGAATAGCCTACTCCTATTCCAATTTTCTGTTTCTATGTAGCAAATGCCTTCTGGAAATTCATGTTCAGGAAGTCCCTGATTTACGAATGTCCAACCTGCAAACATAATTCCGTATAGGGGCATAATTTTAAAATCTGATATGTGAACAATTCCTATACTTGCAAATGACTACTTCATATTGTCCAGCATTGTGTTTTGACTTGCATGCAAGTTGACTTGTGAACGGACTCTTAACAGAATCCATTTGCAACCTGGGGACTGCCTTCATACCACAGAGCCTTTTTGTTACTTCTTCAAAAAAAACTCTGAAGTTATTTAAACACAGTTTCCCCTTAGAAATCCAAGCTGACTCTTCCTAATCAATTCACCCTTTTCCTTGTGCCTGCTGATTCTAGCTAGAATAATTGTTTCTAGAAGCTTCTCCGCCACTAAAGTTAAACTGGTCTATAACTAAAATATTCATTTTAACATCTCAGCCATACCCCTGCCTCCATATGTAAATCCCCATTTCGACTCTAATCGGACCTACACACCCGGAACTCTCACTTTTTTACTATTTATATACCTATAGAAGGCCTTGGGACTCGTTTTAAGTGCTAGTCTTTTCTCCATTTCTTTTTGCTTCACTTATTTGCTTTGTCACTTTCTCTCTAAACCTTCAGTATTTCTGTTGGTTCTCAATTTTTTTTTTGTCTGACGACTGCCGTAAGTATACTTTTTCTTTCTAATATCAATTTCTACCTTCTTTCCAATTTGTCTTCCCTCCCCATTTGAGGGAACATACTTTTTGGCTTTAATTTTCACCCCATCAGTCATCTTTTCCTTGGTGAATGTTGATACAAAATATTAAGTACTGTAGCTTTGCTATGCAGCTCTAAGCATATATGTTCCTCCTTCTTTCCTGGAAAACTAGCAAGAAAAGACAATAAATACTTCTACAGAAATGAAAAGGATAAATCCAGCAAAAGTGAGGTTGAGACTGGTGAATTGATAACTGGAAACTAAGAAATGGCTACTTTTGTCACTTACTCATTTTCTTCCTCTCTTGTTTCTTGTGTCATCTTTTTCTGGTTTCACAAATATTCCAAAACTACTGCCTACTAGTAATCCTTGTACCATTGTGCATCTTTTCTTTTTCTTTTAAACAATCCTTAATTTCCTTTGCCAGGATAATTCATCCCTTTCATGGAGTCTTTTATTAATGGGATGTACTTTTTTTTTTAAGAGTATCAAAAAATGTCGTGAGAATAGTAGAAAATCGAGGCATAAGGGAGGGTGGAATTAAAAACGATCACAATCACTATAGAACAGCTACAATAAATGGTCATGGAACCAAAGGCTGACAAATTCCCTGGATGTGATAGCCTGCATTGTAGGTTCTTAAAACTGTAGCTACAGGGAAAGTGGATATACTGGTTGTATATCTTTTAAAGTTCTCCAGACTCTGAGAAGATTGCCGTGATTGGAAAACAGGAAATGTTACCCACTTTTCGAATCAAAAAGGAGACCAAGTAGGAAACTATATAGGTCAGTTATACTGATATCAATCACTTGGAAAATCTATAATCCATTAGTAAGGAAGAAATAGCAGGACACTTATAAAATCATAATACAGTCAGACTGAACATGGAAAGGAAATTTTATATTTAACAAGTACATTGTCGGACAACTCTAGTGAAACAAGCAGACTGGATAAAGGAGAACCAGTAGACGTGGTCCAAAAGGCATTCGAAAAGGTGCCACACAAAGGGTACAAAGAGTCTGCAAAAGGTCATGCATTGATTTAAGTGGGACTGCAGTGGCATAGTGGTAATGTCTCTGAATGAGTCATCCTGAACCTTGGGTTTATTTTCTGGGGACATTGGTTCAAATTCCACCATGGCAGATGGTGGCTGATGCAGAAAGTAATTACAGAATCTTGATGTTGGCCTTTGTTGCAATGGGATGGAGTATAAAAGTAGGCCTGAAGTACTGTGGACTGTCTTAATCTGCTTACTTGAGGAAACAGTTCAGAGAAGGTTCACCAGTCTAGGATGAAGGGGTTATTTTATAATGAAGTATTAAGCAAGTTGGTTCTATACTCATTAGAGTTGAAAAGAATGAGAGGTGAACGTATTGGAACATAAGATCCTGAATGGTTTTGACAGGAGTGAAGACAAGAGGATGTTATCTCTCATGGAAGAACTGTGGCAGCACAATTCAAAAATAAGGCCTATCCCATTTAAGACAGAAATAAAGAGGAATTTCTTCTCTGATAGCCGTTAGTCTTCAACACTCAGTTCTACAGAAAGCACTGATACCTGGGTCACTGAATATATTCAAGACTGAGTTAAAGATTTTTGAATGACAACGGTATAGAGGGTTATCGGGTGGGAGGAGTGGTGAGCTGATAAGAGAAAAGGTCAGAATGTGGAGATAAGGCTACAATCCAATCAGCCATGATGTTATTGAATGGTGGAACAGGTTAAATGGTCCAAATTCTAATCCTGCTCCAGTTTTTGTCTGATGGAAAAGGTTTATGTAGAGCATAAATACCACAATAGAACATTGTGGTAGCAATCTGTTTTGCTTTTCTGTATTCTCAGTCAAATTAAGATAGTTATGTTCACTTTTTTTTATAACTACTTGATTTATCCATCCTTGTAAGGGTAAGAATAATTGTGCAGGGTACCACCTCTCACTCTTAGATACTGTACAGCAAATGAAAGAAAGTGGTGATAATAAAAGAAGAGTCATGAGTTTTGTTTTCTTTTTCCAGATTCAACATTAGAAAATGGTTACATGTCCCACAAATGTAATACTGAAGTGGCTTGAACATCTGAATAGTTCCTGGGCCTTGGAAGACAGTGAATCTACAGCAACGAGGGAAGGTGCTTCTGCATTGTATGAAAAGTTGCTCCATAACAAAGAAGTGGTAGGGATATCCCAGCAGGCCCAACACTTGCTTGATCCTCGCTTACCAGATTTTGAACATGAGTCTTCAGCTGTGGAAGAACGTGAGCAGTATCTCTCTGCACTACTCAACAGCCAACAGAATTTGGCCAAAACAGTCTTTGGAAATACACCTTTTGCTGTTGCCTTACACATGCGATTACTGTCTCTTCAAAGAATATTTTATGCACTTTCTAACAAATATCATGACCGGTTCAGACCAGAACGTCAAGTAGAAAGGCAAAGTTCTGACAGCAGATTAGATCCGAAAGATGCGTTGGTCAGGAATACAAAAATAAAAACGGGTACTGATGTTTTAATTGAGATGGGAGTTAAGACTGGCCTAAGCCTACTGTTTGCACTAATTCAACAGAACTGGCAACAGTCAAAGTTAGATCCAAGTTTGAGCCTGTGCAATGATGTTTTGTGCACAGCCTGCACAATTATCAATTCTCTACCTCCACTTTCTCTAGCAAATGAAAATAAAATCCCACAGGTAGGTTTGGACTGCCTCACACAAGTTACAACATTTTTGAAGAAGATGACCATGCCCTGTTCTGGTGCTGACATGCAAGGGCGAAGATTGGCTTCAGAGCTACTGTTGGGTCTTGCAGTACAGCGTGGATCTTTGAAGTTTCTACTTGAATGGATTGAAGTGGCATTAGCTGCTTCAGCAGCAGCTGCTAATGCATCAGAAAAAGAAGGAATGATTGGATACGATTGTTTTTTAAAATCATTGGAACAGCTGAAACATTCTTCGGTGAGTCTGATTTATTTAACCAAGGTAGAGTTTGTTTCTAAATGTGGGAGGTTGCCCAGCAGGTAAACACTTTATTTTCTATTTTGATGTTCAGATTTGTAAAATATGTTGTCTCCTTGTACTTCATTATAAGATCTTCATGGAAGATTGCACCAGAAACAAATTAAAATCTAATGGCATTGTATTGGTAATTCTTGTCCTTTATAGTCCGTAAGTACTTAAAATTGGAAACATATTTAAAAAATCCCTTTTGAACTAACTTATTGCAGAGATGATTATTACATAGTTTTTCTTTAAATTAAAAAATTATCAAATTAAAGAACTTGAACTGTGTACAGGCTATTGCTGGTAATGCACACCTGTTTTTCCATTTTAAAAAAAATAAGTTATCCAATCACTTGAATGAAATGAGTAAACATCTTGTGGGTCAATAACAAAGTAAATCATCATATTTGAATTGTGACTTTGCTTTAATACAATATTGTATTCATCAAATCTGCTTGCTGGGCTATGTCATGGATATTTTTACATTCTAAGCAACAGAGGAGAGGGTGAAATGGGAGGGGGAGACATTTTTCATTTTTCCGTTTTTACTTATTCACCCCTTCTGATTTTTATTTTTGCACAATATTCTCCATTTTCCTTTTAATACTCCCTTCCCCACTTATTGTAAACTTAATGCTTTCATTATGGAAAATGCGGCTTTATAATATTTTTATGCTTATTTAACAGAATGAAAAAACGCTGACAAATCACGTATATTAAACTTTCATTGCTAATTCAGGTTGAAAAAGCAGAAGTATGCCTTTACCCGCTTCATTAGTTTGCTTTTGTGACACTACTCTTCTAATAAAAAATAATTGCTCAGTACCAAACGTGCTGATTGATTTGTTTTAACTTTTAGAATGCATACGTGGATAATCTACAGAATCAAGAGCTCAAGAAGACTCCAGATGGGCTGTGTTCTCTTTCCAATGCAGCAATTTGTCTTTTTGAAGAGGTTTGTAAATTTTTGTGTTTAATTTATATATAGGCAACAAAATCCAAAATTGCATTGATATAGCTTGCAATCATTTAATGTGGGTAATTTTAGTTTTGTGTCACTAGTTTTATGTTTCTTTTTTTTATTTACGGCTCCGAGAGCCATAGAATGGTTATGGCACAAAAGGGAGACCATTTACAATCATGTCATAGACACCACCATTAGCATTCCTGTGTATATATCCTGTCCCAACAGCAAGACAGACCTACCAGAGGTGGCGACACAGCTGCATGCACTTAGAAAGGAAGTGCCCTAGGTGGTGTTAGAATTGACTCTGGACCCATGAAGTCTCACAGCATGATGTCAAACATAGGCAAGGAAACTTCCTCCTGATTACTACTTACCACCATGGACAACACCCAATCTTGTGCTGATAGCCGGTATATATCAATCATACTACACCAGTGCCAGTTATGGTCATCTCCAATAAGGGCGATTCTAACCATTTCCAAAAACGTTTCACGGTGTTATCATTAAATCTTGCACCTAGTGGACTGCAGCAATTCTATAACATGACTCACCATCACCACCTTAAGGGCAATTATGGTTGGGCAATAAATTCTGGCCTAGTCAGCAATACCCATATCCCCAAACCAGTTTTTTAAAAAAGCAATTGGTCTGTTGTGTTCAGACCTGGCACTCCAGGAGCAACTCAGTTAACCTGAGATCCTGAACTTTTTTGCTTTCTGTATGGGTCCTTATCCAATTCCCTTTTGAAAGCCACATTTAAATCTCACACTTGGGCAATGCAGTTTGAGCCCTCACCTTACTACATAAGTTTTTCCTCGTCTTGCAGTTGGCTCAGAAGAAGAGGCTGATTAAAAGGCAAGAAAACAGAATGAGAGTAAACTAACCAGATTCATTGCCATTTATCTAAAATTCATGTCCCATTGATTTTGACCAATCCACCAATGAGAACAGTTTCTTTTAATTTCAGCCATGATACATATTTGAAGATTTGGAGGTAGCAATCCTGAAAAACCAGATAATTATGCAACAACAATTGTTGTGTAAAGACTAGTGGGAATCTCTTCACACTGCACACAGTGTAATGGAAAGTAGAATCTTTGGAGGAAGTGTCTAAAGTGTGGCAGTGCAAAGTGAGAAGATTGATGCATTCAGAGCTCTCTCATCCCCCAAATTCTGTAATAACTTTGTGTCTAATTAATTAGTTCATGGTACAGTCCTCCCATTGTTGTATTTGCATTTATTGAAGATACATTGGCTGAATTTATTCATTCCTAGGTAATCTATTTTACTCTTCCATGGCTGTTCATCCACCATTGCTTTTGGTTATCAAATCTTTGAATTTCAAAGTAGTTAAATAATTTAATACTAATAGGCACGTGTGGCAATTGTGGAGTTGTCAGAGGGCCACTAATAAACAAAATTACAAGTTTGAGCTTCATGTACAAGATCTAAGAAAATAGAAGCTGGGTGAGACTGTATGGCCCTCTGATTCTGCTTGCTATGCAGTGTGATCTGTCTTGATATTCTGCTTCAACTCCATTTTTTTTTTGCTTCCTCCCAATAGGTGGTTTAGGTAGTTTTGGGGAATGAGTCTGGGTGGGATTCTCTGAGGGCCGGTGTGGACTTGTTGGGCCAAAGAGCCTGTTTTCAGACTGTAGGGATTCTATGAATATCCTTTAATTCCTTGAGAGACCAAAAAATCTTGTCACAGCTTTGAAGAAATTCAGCTCAAACATGTACAAATTTCCAGAGTCGAGAATTCCAAAGGTTCATAAACTTCTGATTGAAGAAATTTATTGTATCAATTCTAAATAATCAACCCCAAATTCTAATGCTTGCCTCTTTATAAATTCCAAATTCAGGGGAAATGACCTCTGGCCTGTCAAGATCCTTCAGCAATTTTAAAATTAATCCCGGATTGTAGACATCCCTAACTGTTCCAATGTTTATTGATTATCTGTGATTGCCCTTGAGAAGGTGGTTATGAGCTGCTGCCTTGAATCATCGTAATCCATATTGTGTAGGTATAACCTTAGTATTGTTAGTGAGGGAGTTCCAGGATTTTTGACCCAGTGACAGTGAAAGAACAGAGGTACGGTTCTAAATCAGGATAGTGTGTTGGTTGGAGGGGAAATTGCAGGTTGTGATGGTGCCATGCATCTGCTGCTCTTGTCCTTCGAGGTGGTAGACGTTGTAAATTTGAAGTGTTGTCAAAGAACCCTTGTTGAATGTTGAGGTTGGTTGTCTCGCTGAGCTGTTCTGTTGTTCCGCAGACGTTTCGTTACCGTGCTGGGTAACATCTTCAGTGCAGCCTCTGATGAAGCATCGGTATGTTTTAAACTCTGGGGTCCGTTGCGATGGATTGCCTCCCTTCCGGGTTTCCTCCGTAGTGGAATGTATATGGGGTCGAGTTCAATGTGTTTATTAATAGCCTGCTTCGTGGAGTGCCATGCTTCCAGGAATTCTCGTGCTCGTCTCTGCCTAGCCTGTCCCAGGATCTTGGTGTTGTCTCAGTCGAAGTCGTGGTTCTCCTTGTCCATGTGGATTGAGATGAGTGAGTATTGGCCGTGTCTTTTTGTAGCCAGTTAGTGTTCATGTACTCTTGTTGTTAGTTTCCTTCCTGTTTGTAGTGTTTCTTGCAGTCTCTGCAGGGGATCTTGTAGATGACATTGGTCCTGTCCATGGTGGGGAGTGGGTCTTTAGTTCGGGTGAGCACTTGTCGTAGGGTTGATGTGGAACAACAAAACAGTTCGGCGAGCCAACCAACCTCAACACCCACAACCTAAGCTACAGATCTACTCCAAAACCTTAGAGACCTACGGGCGCAACACGCTCAAACTGGCAAGGAATTGGGAAAACTACGCCAAATGAGAGAGCGCAACCCGTGAACAACTCTACTTCCTACATGGATGCCTCAGGAACCAGGTATTACCACGCAGTGTGAAGTACAAACCACCCATCAACAACCCACAGGACCAGAAAACAGCAGAACAAGCAAGATGGTAAGGGTAATGATAAACAATGCACACAACCGGCTCCACAAATACAACAGAGAAATTACGCGCCAAAAAACGTTATTCCAGGAAGGTACCAATCAAGACTGGACAACCGACATGGAACGAGCCATTAACATCAGCCAACAGACCACAAGAGCCAGGAAAATACAGACCCTGCAAGACAAGCTAGCCACACTTACCCACAAAAGCAACAACAACAGAACTGACACATGGAGAAGGAACCTCTCCGACAGGAAACTGACAGACGCGGAAAAAGCCGTTCTCATCCGGGGACCGAACTACAACTACAGGGACGCCAACAAAACGGAATGGCTAGCTACACTGGACGCCACACTCAAGACCAACAATATCAACGAAGAAACACAACAAACTATAAGACAGACAGTAGTCCCGACACTAACCAGAAAGAGGGAACTCAACACCCTCAACGCACGGGAAAGACAAGCCCTGGACAGATTAAAGAAGGACAAGAACATCACTATACTACCTGCAGACAAAGGGCGCATGACAGTGATAATGAATAAAAAGGACTACATCTCCAAAGCACAAGCACTGCTCGCCGACGAGAACACATACCGGCCAGTACAAACTGACCCGAAACCACAACTAGGCAACAAAATCCTATATACGCAACAAAGATTAAACAAACAGGACAGATCAACAAAGCAGACTTCTTAAGAATGAAACCCGAAGGAAACTACACACCCCGATTCTACGGCCTCCCTAAAGTGCACAAGCCGGAAGTCCCCCTCAGACCCATAGTCTTCCTACCAGGCACTCCATCGCACAAGTTAGCCAGAGAACTACAAAGAAGACTCGAGCACCTAGTCAACAAATCACCCCACTCCATCCACTCAGCCCAAAAATTCCTCAACTCCATCAAAGACATAAAGACCGAGGATGAAGAAACCATGATATCGTTTGATGTCACTGCCCTATTCACGTCAATAGACATACCACTAGCAAGGGGAACTATGACAACACTACTTGAACAAGAACATGACCCCAGTGTAACCATCTCCAAGGACAACATGCTTAAACTACTGGACCTATGCCTGACCACCCAGTTCACCTTCAACGGCCAAACATACGAGCAAATCAACGGGACACCCATGGGATCGCTTGTCTCCGGACTCATAGCAGAATCAGTGATGCAAAGACTAGAAAGGACCGCCTTTCCGCAAATCCAACCTAAACTATGGATACGCTACGTAGACGACACTTTTGTCATCATTAAACGGACCAAATTAGAAGAGACATACAAACCCATAAACAACACCCTCACCAGAATAAAATTCACCAGAGAGGAGGAGAAGAACAAACAGCTCCCATTCCTGGACATCATGGTAGAGCGCAAGACAAATGGGGAACTGCAAATGAAAGTACACCGTAAAGCCACACACATAGACCAGGTATTGAACTTCAATAGTAACCATCCCAGCACACACAAATGAAGCTGCATGTGAACGCTAATTAAAAGGGCAACAACACACTGCAGCAACATGGAACTATGCCAAGAGGAGGAGGAATACATCTTCCAAGTGTTCAAGGCTAATGGATATCCAAAGAACTGGGTCAGGAGATGCCTACAGGAACAGCATCAGAAAGATTCTACACGCCCCGACACACTCATCACACTACCCTACATCAGGAACACGTCAGAACTCACCACAAGACTTCTACGATCGCTGGGCATCAGAGTGGCACACAAACCCACATCAACCCTACCACAAGTGCTCACCCGAACTAAAGACCCACTCCCCACCATGGACGGGACCAATGTCATCTATAAGATCCCCTGCAGAGACTGCGAGAGACACTACATCGGACAAACAGGAAGGAAACTAACAACAAGAGTACATGAACACCAACTGGCTACAAAAAGACACTACCAATACTCACTCATCTCAATCCACATGGACAAGGAGAGCCACGACTTCGACTGGGACAACACCAAGATCCTGGGACAGG